ATCCTAAAATTTACATAGTATATGATGACTACACAATTTAATTTAATGCTATAAAAAAGTTGTCCCACCAGATTTATCAAACTGGCTATTTCAAGTTCTGTTTTTTCAACATTCAAAATTTTCACTTCACTCTCTACTCAGTAAGTAATGGAAACGAGAAGACCCAATTCGATCGGAGCACAGCAACCGGAAACCCTAGGCCAAGACGACGATGACTTGTCGGAGTCGGAGTCAGAAGAAGGGATACAAGAACTGGAAGAAGAAATACGGGACCTGGAACAACAAGTTCAACAAATGGCTGAGAAAATTGTGGATTTCAGAACTACACTTCCGGGTCAGCTTAAAACTACTCTCGATTCCATTCTTACTGCTCAAAGACCCCTTTTTGATAGCCCCGAATCTCAACCTGGCTGCTCCAATCAACCACCCACATCTGGTACGTTTCTAGGGTTCTTCTCAGATTCAAACTGTTAATTACACGGAAAATTGTTTAGTATTGGAATTGGATGACGTATAGTGTTCAATGGTTGTTATAGACGATTCCAATTAGTTTGGTATTGTTGATTGATTGATTGACAATGTTTTATAATGGTGACATTTGGTGTCTTTTTTCAAACTTCTCTCTGTTTATTCTTGTTTTGTATGCAGCCAACTCAACTACCTTTTTTTGTTTCTGCTAGGATTTGAACCCTAGTATCCTGTATTCTTTGTTCCAGCTTCATTGACCTGCAATGCTAGGCCATATTTTAGTTACTTTTCTCCATTTCTTACAGATAGAAGTATATTCACAATACAAGAAGACCACAATTATCGAACGGTCTTAGAAGCACATTATAGAGAATGGTGCAATGAGTGAATTCCTTGAGGATAAGAAATTGTCTATCCTACCTTATTATTATGAAAGAAATTTGTCAATTCAGATTATTCTATTTCTGTATAAACTAAAAACCCATGTCTTTATAGTTAAAATTCTCAGACATTATGTCCTTATTATGCAAGCTATTAATCAGGGGAGGTTGTTAGACTTGGTGTCAGCTTAGGCCTGGGAGTTTAGAAATCGCTGTGTAAATGTTCTACACTGAGTTTTGAGCATAGGTAGAGAAGAGACTTGGGGTGACATCATTGTTGTTGACTTTGAACTTGGACCCATTTTGTGTTTTGAAACTCATACATTTATGGTAAAAAGGATGTGCTTCTGTTCTTAACTCTTGAACTTCTTTCTCTAGTCACTTAGGACTTATTTGAGTTGGTTAACGCTTGGGTGAACGTGCTGTGCTATGAACTATGGTGGTGTCATAGATCTCTGTATTGACGTGAGGTTATTCTTGCTTTTTCATCGAGTTAAGACATTATGCGAATATGAGTTTCCATTACTCTTATATTCTTGAGTTCATAATGATTAAAATAAGAGTATTACCTTATTAATTGAAGCTGTACTGAATGATAGTTTGGGTTTAGCATGACCCTTTGAGTTAAGCCATTATGCGAATATGAGTTCTCCATCATTCTTATATTCTTGAGTGCATGATGATTGAAAAAAGAGTACTGCCTTGTTAATTGAAACTGTACTGAAGGATAGTTTGTGTTCATCTTGACCCACCGAGTTAAGCCATTATGTGAACATGAGTTTTCATTTATTCTCATATTCTTGAGTCCATGATGCTTGAGAGAAGAGTGTTACCTTCGTATTGAAACTCTGCGCAAAATTAGATCAATATCACACCAACAAACAATAGAATACACAATGGAACAGTTGAGTAAGCAGTGATCTGAACCAAAGCACACTGCTAGTAAAATGATTAGAAAAAAGAAATTAGTAAAGATACAACTGCATCTCCCTCGTCCCCAGCAATAAGATAATGATTAAAGTGAAGTTTAAACATAACAGTAAAAAAGAAACACAAAGTCTGCGATATAGTTTATGAGAAAGTTCCATCATAATGCAGTCGTGCAAAAAGAGATAAGGTTCTTTTGCTACCATATTTTTGTTGAGTGATCAGTTTTCCTCTTCCATTTTCCTCTTTTAATAAATGTTGAAGGAATGGTTTGTTTCTGAATGAACGGTCTTCACATTATTTTAGCAGGAGTAGGTGTTCTTAAATTATTTTAGTGCCTCTTGATAATACTGGAAGTTGTTTCTTAACTGTCAGTAAAATTTTCAGAATGAGGTTGCGTTTACAGATGTGCTTTTCCTCCTTTTTGTACGGTGTGCCCTGACTGACCCTGCAGTTGATAAACCCTTTCTTCTTCTCATTTTTTTTTGGACAAGTATCTTTAGAAATAATGAACCATTGCTAGATATTTGTGTCTTTTGTTTTTCAGCTTTTTCACAGAGTGAAGTTGTCCTCCATTGTCTTCAAACTGGAGGCATTTCAGATCTGGAAGGTCTCCTGGTTAACTGTTTAAGTTAGAGCCAAATTTCTGAAACAGTATTTTAGGGGTAGTGGTAAAATCACACAGACCTTAAGAATAATAAGCTCATGTATTATATGAAGAACTCTAGGAAGCGGAAGTCAACAAGATAACTATCCGGTATTCCACCTACTTGCATAGAGACCTTATAAGGTTTTGTCGTGATTCGATGGAAAATTTCGGCCCAAGATATATCCGGAACCTTATAAATGGTTGAACAATTGTTGACTATTCAATGTGAGATCTTTAGTGTAATAAAATGAAAGAGGAATCATAAAGTCCACTTACAGTTCGATATGAGTTCTTGCTTTTGCTTTATCTTTAAGAAATGATTGTTTTTCTTTGTTGCTTGAGAGCTACAAGGCTAGAGACATGTTCATAGAGTGATTAAGAGCTAAATGCACTTAAATCACAGATTCCCTTAAGATTTTAGCTTTGTTAGTGGAAGCCTTGAAAAATGCATGCAGAAATGCAAAGATCGGTATCCTTGTGTTTGATAGTACAGTAAATTTGTGGATTTACAGATTCGTTTTCTTTGTAATTATTATCCTGATCACTGTCACAGACGTAGAAGAGCCTGGTGCCGCCTTACCTGGAGAGGTGCAGAAAGAAGCTGAAAAAGCGCAGCTCCTTAAGCAGAAGATAACAAGTAATGCATCTGCCATACCTATTGTATTGAACAGGATGAAGGAAGGTATGGCGAAGATTGACAAACTACAGTCTAGCAATAAAGTCATTCATCCTGCATTTAAAAGGGGAAGAACTAGCCGATAAGCCCCTGCTAGATTTGCTCGCTATGGTATAGAACACGTAGTTTCTTATTATGCTTAACAGCTTTGACTGTTGTGGAACACGTGAAGCTGTCTTCCAGAGAAATATTTATTGACATGGATCTAACATAGTCAGGGAGCATTTTATTCTGTAATTAAATGCAACATTAGTTAGTTTTGTATGTAATTCTTAATGGTGATAGGGTTAGTTTATGATGATGAAATGAGAATATGTAATCCAGTTAGTTGAGGTTGTGATTTTTGTGGAGCTCTACATTGTACAATTTTTTTTTCTTTTGGTTCTGGATTTGTTGTACATGTACTCCATTATTCTGTGTCCATTGGAAAGAGAGAATGTTTCTATCCAGTTGTATTGCCTAGTGTATTCTTTTTTTTGCTGTTGGGCATGTGGTGCACTGAAGCCTTGGACTCTATATTGTACAACATACTCAGCGTAATTTCACAAGCGAGATCTAAAGATGATAAGATGTATGTATTATTTTCGATAGAATGTATTTATTCAAAATAAATATAGTATTTATTCATGAAGCAACAGTGTAGATGATTATAGAAATCTGCAACCTGAGTTATATTGTCAATAGTACAAAGCAAGTGTAATTGTTGTTGTAGTTGTTAAATGAATTTGAATTCTTAAAAAGTTGTGAATATTGTGTAAAAATAATACTCCCTCCGTCCAACAATAGTTATGCACTATACTATTTTGGGATGTCCAACCAATACTTGTCCACTTTATGAAGTCAATGGATAATTAACCATAATCATTAAATATAATCATTTCTTTTTTCAAGATATTATATTTATTATATTTAAAGAATGATATAGTAAAATTATATTTCTATTTATAGTTTTTAAGAAGTAAGTAAAGTCAATAATGAACAAGTATTATTGAACAGGCGAGTACTATTACAATTACAAACAAAATGTTGGCAAAATCATTGAAAACATCAATAATCTCAAATTGAACAAAAGTCAACTCATGAGTATTACTTTAAGCTGAATAAGTCAGTTTTATCAACATCTAATTTTAGGACTGTATGACACTAGAAATTCTTACTATTTTTTATTTGAAAATCAATATTTGGTTATAAATGATTCAAACTCAACTTGAAGTTGAATTTCAAATTAAAAATAACTTATAATCTATTTTTCAACTCATTTTTTCAAGGTTGTATTTATGTATATTTAAGCATGAACATAATTTCACATATTCTTTATAAAAAAAGTATTATCAAATACAATTTTATCTTCATCTTCAACTTCAAAAGTTTCAAATAAAGTGAAAATATGTTTGAAATTTATGGCCAAACGCGCTTAAAGTTTGTATATACTATATTTTTATGAATAACGAAGTAGGAATTAGATGAATACAAAACTTTAAATAAAATTTGTCCTTTCATCCAAAGAATGTCATGTTTTTAGAAATACATTGATCTTTCGCAATAACAATACTCACTCTAGTCTAATGAATTGTTGAAACTTTTTTCGTAGTTTAAAAATTAAAGTTCAATAAAAGTATTCGAACTTTTTCTATATTTACCCTAATATCTTTAACTCCTTCACATTTTCTAGTATAATACTTGAAAATAATCAAAAGGATAATAATAAAAACAACTTTTAATTTATATTTTCTTAAGAAATGCCTCTACTTCAACAATTCATTTAATATGAACAAGAGCGTGTATTAATTAATAAAATATTCATTTATTGACGTTGAGGTTATTTGAGAGGGAAAAAGATTGAAAATGAAAATACAAAGTGGCCCGCCCATTTTACCATAAATCCAAAACTACCCCAAAAAAGCCCTAATTTCCAAAACCCTATTCAGTTAACTCACTCCCCGAGCAGAGTCCCCAAACGCTTTCTCCCAATTTCTGAGATCTGCGCAAAACCCTAAACCCCATTTGCGATTTTGCTTCAAATTCAGTCACAATGTCGATGTCGAAGAGTTCTAAGATGCTTCAATACATCAATTATCGTATGCGTGTTACTATCCAGGATGGCCGTCAATTGATCGGCAAGTTTATGGCATTTGATCGACATATGAATCTTGTACTCGGCGATTGTGAAGAGTTTCGTAAGCTTCCTCCTACTAAAGGTTCTAAGGAAGAACGTGAAGATCGCCGTACACTTGGTCTTCTTCTTCTCAGGGGTGAAGAAGTGATTTCCATGACTGTTGAAGGTCCTCCACCTCCGGATGATTCTCGTGTTAAAGCTACTGCTGGTGGTGTTTCTGCTGTTCCTGGACCCGGGTTGGGTCGGGCTGCGGGTCGGGGTGTTCCGACTGGTCCGATGGTTCATGCTCAGCCGGGTCTTGCTGGTCCTGTTCGTGGTGTTGGTGGACCTGCACCGGGAATGATGCAGCCGCAGATTTCTCGTCCGCCGATTAATTACCCGCAGCAGCCTCCTCCTATGGTTCGACCACCTGGTGGTGGGCCTCCACCTCCAATGCAAATGCAAATGCAAAGACCTGGTGGCCCACCTATGCCTCCGCCGCCACAGTTCAGGCCTGGTGGTCCTGGACCGTTTCCGCCTCAGTTTGGTCAGAGGCCCATGGGACCACCACCTCCACAGATGATGAGAGGTCCTCCACCACCAGGGTCGCAGCCACCAAGACCTGGAATGCCTGGTGGGCCACCTCATCCGGGGATGCCTCCACCACCTCCTGGTGGGCAAATTCCAGTCTTTGGACCTCCTCGCCCGGGAATGCCACCTCCTCCAAATGCACCTCACCAGCAGAATCAGCAGCAGTAGAATCAGTATGTTACTGTTAACTGAGTTCATTTTCAATCTTTATGGCTCTATATTGCTTGTCTAAGCTCATTCTAAGTATAACAATGTCTTTGTGGAGTATATTCTGCAATTAATATGTAAACTGAAAATGCAGTTCCGTAAAGCTAGTTTGAGCTAAGTATTATAGTGCTTCTTTGATTAGAGGCTATTTTATTTTCAGTACTTTTGCTATGGTGAGTTTCTTGCATGATGATTGGTTTGGAATAGGCTAATTGACAGTATAAGCTTGACCTTTTTAAGCTGCAATTTACTTTTGACTAGCTGTTTGCGTAATTGTATGGCAAAGTTGATGGACGATTTTATTATTATTGTATGAATTTATTGAAGATCATCTCATGGAAGATGGCCTGTATATGCAATACTCGCAAAATATGATGAACGCCTTTTTCCCCTCGAAAGATCACCTGTCTCTGATCATTTGGTTGTTGCACTGAAGGTAGTGATTTTATATCATCCAAACAGGAACTTTTTGATACTGTTTTGTGTTGAATTTAAGTTTGTCAATCTTGAAATCCAGATGGTGCGCTGTTATGATGTTGTCTCTTGATGGATCTGGAAGGTGTGGATGGAAATTGCTCTGGTTTTGAATATATAGTGATATAGGTTTTGGACAGACAGAGGTATTGAGAAAATATCATGGACACTAAATTTGTCTAGAGTTTGAAGTTCTCCCTTCGTCCTTAACTTCTTTGACCTACCATTTTCTTCCATCCTGTGATAAAACATCTTTGCTTGAATGAAATCTCCACCATGGAAAAGTATTATCCACTTTTAATAATTTCACAGTGAGTCAATATTATAATTTATAAAATATCTGTAACAAACTCAAATATAGTAACTTATGACACATTTTTATATTGATCTCCATGAAAAGACAAGCAGGTCAATTAAAATGAGGTGGGTGGTCATTGTTCTTGCAAGAAGTTCTGTAGTATGCTGGGTTCTTAGGTTGTTCATTTTGCATCAATTTTTAGGTTACATATTTATGGCTTATGTAGTAACTAACTATGCATAATTGGCTTGTTTGAGTATTTTCCGTGTCTGAATCATTTGTGGTAGACCAGACTGCGTTGCGATAGCCTATTATGATGACGAAGTATAATGTTAGTCTTGAGTAGTGCTGCGGAAGTTGTTAATTCTCGCAACCATTGTAGAATCTCTTGCTAAAAAATTTGGAGTAAGGTTGGATTGTTAACAACCCAAGAAACGTAAAAGCTTCATAGAATTTGTTGTGCTGGACTGCTAAGGCTCTAGAGGTTAGCTCAATTCTGTATTTGTTGGTAGAAATCCATTTCTAAATATCTCCCAAACCAGTAATGAGACTTCAGTTGAAGAATTGCCCCCCCTCTCCCTCCCCCTCCCCCCAAACAAAGAATTCCCTCACTTTGTTCCCCGCATAGCTTGAATTATAACTAATTACTTTGTTTTCTTGTAGGGCATGCTCTGTAAAGGTCAAGTAGTCATTAGCTTCTCCTGCTTACCTCAATGATCGTTATCTTAGGTCCTTTTTTCAGCACTCAGCTAAGGATTTGGTGTTTGGGCGATCAAACTAAGGCTATATTTGATGGTGGTTGAGTGATATTTGCTTTCAATGAGCTTGTAATTGTGCAAGATAGGAGACTTTAAACTAATGTTCTTAGCAGTATTTGTCAAACTTCCTGTCTTTTGATTTTCAATATTGCTTTCTGCTATGACTTAATGAAGATTTCAGTGGGTTGTTCATTCAACAGTGGCAGTCTTCCATTTACATATGCTTAATTTTTCATGGAAGAATTAGTTGAGGATATTTGCTTCTCATCTAATATTGGAGTGCTCTTATGTTAAATGTCAAACAAAAGGGACTTCAAGACTTCTTTTTTCGTACTACTCGCTCCAAGTATGCCACTCGTTGGATTGGGAGCACCAAATGTTGAGATTGGCTCCAAGGCAGTTAACTCTTTTCTTTGGACATCATTCCCTCCTCAGCTACGGGAAGAATTTCATTGCCACGAGGTCAACACTTGCCTTCACCGATTCAAAATCCTATTCCCTTCTGTCTTCTCGCCGTTTCTGCTTTCGTATAGGGAAATGGCTGCTTGGGGTGTTGATTTCACATCTTCAGCTACGGTGTTCACATCCTTCCCAAGGAGATTGAAATATTTGCTTGGTTGTTAAGAAAGCATGGGAGAAAAAATGAAATGCATTCTTTTCTATTTTCTATTCTATATGGGGGTACGTGGCCTGTCCTTTCCTTACAATGTCGATGGTATGCTTGAGATGACAGTCTTTTTCCTTGGCTTGTACTCGAGATTTGATGTTCGAAAGACAATCAGTCCTTGTCCAGTAACCATTTTGAGTGGGGTTTCGCTTGATGGGGATCACTCTAAAAAAAGGAAGTCATTTTGGCTGTTGTTATTCCAAATCATTTTCTTTATAAATGTCATAAAAGATGGGGGCTTTCTTGCTTCAGCATGTGAGGGAAATGCCCTAGGTACCAAAGTCATCACCATTATTCTTTCACGCTTTCTTCGTCATTATTTTCACGCTCCTTCTCCAGCAGCACTATTGAAGCAACTCACATACACCTTTAAAACAATTTGAGACGATCATCAATAGTAAATTTTTACCCATAAAAAAAATTATTTACAACTTATTAAGTCTTCTTTGCAACATGAAAAAATGTTTGACTCCCTAATTCCAACAATTCATTTAGTGCACATCTTGTGCCTCTTTGCTTCTTCTTTTCGGGAGAATTAGTGATATATTATATCGTTAAAAGACTGAACATCCGAGCTTGTAATCAAATATTTTTTCGTTTGGTTAATAGTTTTTTTCCCCTTAAACTAATTGTATCTATATTTTTCGTTTTGCAGGGATATAAACCTCCTTATTTGTTTTACCAGATATTCATACAAGCATGTTTGTGGGGTTTTAACCTCCTCAACAATTTGACCAACAATTAGCATTTCATTTTTTTATATGATTAGATTACAACTAATGCAAATTTTATTTATTAATAACTAAACTCAGAAAGTTCATAATAATAACTAAAGCACTAGATTTTTTTAAAATAATTAAAGCACTAATATTTAATTAAATCATAAAAACTGTCTGACTTTCGAATACGCAAACTCTCAAAGCATTTGCACCAAAATGATTAAATTGAAAACATTCAAACATGTCTTCATTTTTCTTCCAATAAACTCCGTGAATATAAATTTCGACAATCATCATTGATGTGCAAAATTTTCAATAAATGACCAAGCTTCTTATTATTTAACCAGTCAATATATTTAGTAGATAGGTTGAGAATCCACAAGAGCAAGTAAAACCAACGATTTTTACCCTTCTTGATTGTAGTGATCCTCTCTTGGAGCCCTTCAAGATCTGTAGTTAAAGTTAACTGGCGCCTCGATGTCGCTCACCCCGAGGCACCCCCCACGCTCCTCGAGGCCGCTCACCCCCCGATACC